TATTGACATTCTGCGAAAGTTTAAACTGCTGTATGTTTCTATTCGTTATTTAACTCGTGCAACGACGGGATGCAGTTGAAAAGCCGCCGCCAAATTTATTGAATTGAATAAACCCTGCCGTCTACGCCTGTTTCTAAATAGAGTTATTAGTAAAATGGACGAGTGGAACCCCTTACAATCCAGCTGACTTGCTGAGTTTGGGAAGTATTGCACTAAAAGAGCACACTGGTGCATGTACAGGGCACGAGTTGACGATTAAAGTGTTCTGACAACTTTAAAAGAGAAATCTTATGGAATAAGTAAGAATAGAATTGTAATGCCCATGTCGTGATCTTATTGCTTACAATACATCGGACTTTCGGACTAAGATGACAACAGACCACTTTGACTGCCATTTATTTTCATCTCAAGATGCTATCGACAATTAGGTATACTAAAATAAAGGTGCCGCCTACATACGATTAATACGATCGAATCATGGTGGAAAATTGTACGTCTACAGTTGTTTTCTTTCTGTGAACTTATTTCAGTCGTCTGGCATCAATGCTGATTAAACCAACTCTAGAATCGACCGATAGAAGCGAATATGCATCCGACACGGATAACGAAATTGCGTCAATTAATGACTCAAAAGTGAACTGCCAAGCCATCACCGCATCAACTAGGACCCCGAGCGGTTGTTACAGGAGCTGATGATTATGGTACGCATATGGATGGCCGCTACACACTATAAATACCGCGCAATCTGTGTACGTATCACTCCATTCTACGGTTACCGATGATTAAGGATTCTCGATAGAATCCGAAACGCCAGGAAAATAAAATGCTTTTTTCCAGTGATCGCATCTTTTTCTTCTTCTAGACTCTACGGTGCAAGTCCCCAAAGCTACTAGCGATTTGCCAGAACTTTGTACGCACCAGATTCCAAAAGCCGTTCAGCCTCATGGGAGCGTCTAATGTTCGTGAAGTAAAGCCGATAGAGAAAGACTTGTTGAATAATGGAGACGTAAATCATGTCAGAATACCACTTCGGCATGTGACTGGTAACCAGTCTGCCAGATCGGTGCC